TCCTTCTTCACAGCTTGAATGGCCGGCCGGAGGGTCCATCCACCGGATATACTGGGCGCGATAGACGCTACCACCAACCATTTCCAATGTTTAGCTATCCGAAGCCGAATTTTCCGATATGAAATCAGGGTCTAGTTTGTTGACGACACAGCGATTCAGTTATATGGGAATGGGCAAGTGGGATACGGAGTTGCATCGTCTACCATGCAGTACCCAGCCGACAGTCACATAGATGGCCCTTCGCGCGAACCTGATCGTATATAATCAGCAATAATCGCTTCAGAATTGACTCCAACACTCTCCGGCACATCTACTAAGCGTAAGATGAGAAGAAATACTGTATCACTAGAATTGGCGTTGCTGTTGCATCCAAGTGCGCCACATTCAAGTGAGCAATGCGATGCGATGATACTTGATTTGAAGCAAAGTCTACTATTAGCTCAAAACGATGAGCCTTGTGGGTTTGGTCGATCCAATAGGGCAATTGGTACATTTTGTAAAAAACACAAGACCTGACCTAGTCGATCAGGAATAATAAATACATTGATAGTTTAACTAATTCATCCTAACACAAGTATCCGCCCCGCTTGCTTCACCCCCGGGGTCTAGATACTCGGATTTCTTCTCCTTGATTCTCGCAAGGAGCAGAACGCGACTACTGCCGTCAATACTTGTCCGCTAGAAATATACAAGTATGTATGCTCTAGTGGTGGAGAGGTAGTCGCTCCTCTGACGAGGTTTTTGCTTTTCCGGATTTCAGGTATCGATAGAGAGCAAATCCAATGAGAATAAGGACTACTGCTCCGGCTGTGGCCCCGATAATAATACCAGCTCCAGTAGAGACCTGGATAACAGGTGGATTTTCACGACTTCCTGAATTATTTCTATGTTTTCAGGAAACAAGTTAGAGATATGTCGTAAAGCCGAAAATAGGCCCACTTACACAACGGGTGGGTGCTCTAAGGAAGAGGTTACGGGTCCGACACCTACTTCACCACTTCCACTTCTTGTGGGAGGGTTGGCTAGCGTCATGGTAGAATAGTAACTTTGCATAGTCGTTATAGTCTGGACATCGTCCCCTGAAGTGACTACTGTCGTAACGAGGCGTGTTCCTGGGACCAAAGAGACAGAAGGCAAACCGTCGATTAAAGAGGGTTGTAAGTTGTCAATCGTTGAAGAAGG